GTGAGGCCTTGGGCCTCCTGGGGCTCCTTGCTGTGGACCCCTGGACAGACATTTGGTTTGTGGTATCTTTTGGTTGGCAGCCTCAGTTTCCCTCTCTGAAAAATAAGTAGGATGGTCCTGAGATTGTCCCCGTCTCTAGTGAGAATCAAGATCAATGTCAAGGGGGTGCAGTGGCACACATCTATAATCCCAGCAACCTGGGAGGCTGAGGCAGGAGGATCACAAGTTGGAGGCCACTTTGGCAACTTAGGGAGGCCCTGTCTGAAAAAATAAAAAGGGCTAGGGTGTAGTTTGGTGATAAAGCACCCCTGCATTCAATCCCCAGTCCTCTCATATTATTATTATTATTTGAGTTTTTTAATATTTATTTTTTAGCTTTTGGCAGTCACAACATCTTTGTTTGTATGTGGTGATGAGGATCGAACCCGGGCCTCATGCATGCCAGACGAGCACGCTACTGCTTGAACCACATCCCCAACCCCCCTCTAATATTATGATGATGATGATGATGATGATGATGATGCAGGATCTCATAAGTTGCACAGTGTCTCACTAAGCATCTGAGGCTGGCCTTGAACTTCTGATCCTCCTGCCTCAGCCTCCCCAGCTGCCAGGATCATAGGCGTGCGCCTCTCCTCCTCTTTTCTTCACGTTTCGTGCATGGTTCTCTTTTTCAACTTTATATTCTTCTATAACATCTTTCCACTTCATATTTCTTTCTTTCTTTTTTTTTCAATGCTGGGGATGGAGCCCGGTGCCTCCTGCATGCTAGGCAGGCACTCCCCACTGCCTAGCTGAGCCACACCCCAGCCCTAGAACATCTTTTTAAACAAACATCTCATTGACTAAATTCACGTACCAGACAATTCGTCCACTTGGAGCGCACGGCTCAGTGGTTTTAGCGTATTCTGAGTTGTGCTGCCAACATCCCAGCTGATTTTAGACATCTTCATCACCTCAGAAACATACCCCTTTTCTTTTGGGTGTGACCTCCTCCCGAGCCCTAAGCAGCCACAAACCCTCTCTATAGATCTGCCTATTTTGGATATTTGACAAAAATAGAATC